CCAGAAGCCAAGGTTAAAAACACGCTATCAGAAGGTGCTAAGTCTGTGTGGAAAACTAAAACAGGACAGGTGATAAGGTGACAAGTGGTCTGGCTGGGTCAGGGGGAGCCTCTCAAAGGGGTGACAATCCTGAATGACAGGATTCCCAGGCAGGATGAGTAGAGCAGTATCTCCCCAAAACGTCCAGCACTGGAGTTACCCATCTGAACTCCAACCCGTGGATCCCCACTCCCAGCCTGGAGATTTTGTTCCACTTGATTCTCTGGAGCAAATAGTATTCAACAATATATTTTATACTATAGATCTCCCCAAGAATTTTGATATTACCCTCACCACCCCCTCAAGAGATATGCTTCCCCAACCCCACCTCTTGAGAAGCCTTGATACAGCAGGCCCCTACCCCCTTCTCCTGCTGAGCTAGAGTCCTGAGAGCTTCTCCCCATACGACTTGAGGCTCTATCTGTGACCCCCTCAAGTTTCAAACTGATTACTGATGCTCCATGAAGCCCCAGTGCCAATATTAAACCACCCTCCCCCAAACTTGGCCAACCCACACCCACCCTGAGGACAGGCACTGTTCCCATGGGCCTCACCAAACAACTGGCATGGCCGTGGCCAATGCTCCCTGGTCCCTTTAAACAGGAAAAAAAAAAGAATTCAGAAGGGCCAGGGTACAACACAAACCCTGCAGTCTCCTGGGCTGACTGAATGGCCTGGGGACTCTGCTTATATAAGAGCCTGGTTCAAGCAGGGACAGGGACAGGGCTGTGCCAGCCTGCCAGTCACTGCAAGCTACTGAGAGGCTCTTTATCCCTCCAAGGGCTGGGAAAGGCTCGTGGCCCATCTCTAACTAACCACTTGTCAATAAGGAACTACCCTGAGCATTTATGTAACAAACACCACAACAAGAGGGCCCCCAAGGACTTTATAAAAATAAACCACCCTCTGGAAGTTAACCTTTTACGTGAAATCAACAGGAAAAAGCAGCTTCCATCACCCTCAGGATAAAGTCCACAGGCATCTGAGTGGCTACAAAGCCCTGCCTGGCCAGGTTCATCTCTTGATGTGGGTCACCCAAGAAAGTCTGGCCTCCAAGCCTCTGCACATGCTGTTCCCCTCCCCCTCCCTTCGGGCCTCACTTAGGTGGAAGACCTTGAGGCCAGAGGCTATGATGCATTCATCCCATTATTCCTGGCAAGTGAGGGGTACAGATAAAAAAAATATGTTCACACAAGCGAACTAATAAAGAAGTGATAGATTGGAAACGGGAAGCTGAAGCCCCAGAGAACACCTAGACAAGCAGATCCTGCCAGCCACCTGTGGGGGGAGGGGTGGACCCAGGTGCAGTCTTGGCAGCTCTCATTGAAGGGGTGGGATGATGGGGAACAGTCCTGCTGAGGTTGGGTAGACCCAGAGCATGTGGTCAGGAGGCATAAGAAGCTGCCTTCCCTAGGTCAGGACACCTAAGGAGTGGCCAAACAAGGCCCCTCAGCCCACCATGTGAGACACCAGACTCATCCAGGTCCCTGCAATAGGCCCCACTCCCACCCTTCTGATCCCCATAAACCTGACTGCAAGGAGAAGATGCATTTACTCATCCAATCATTCATTCAACAAAGAGGCACTGGTCAGATGCTGGGGAGGCTGCAGGAACAAAACACAGAGTCCCTGCCCTCATGGAGCTCACAGCATGACTGGGGTAGAAAGACCATCAAGTAACCAAATGAAAACACCATAGCCAGAGAGAGCCAATGAAAGGGATGACAGGGCACTGGGGAGGGAGGTCAAGGTTATAGTCCAGATAGCAAGGTCCAGGAAGGCCTCTCAGCATGACACTGAAGCTGAGCTCTCAATAACAAGGGAACAGGCATGGGAAGAATAGATGGGAAGCACATTCCTGGCTGAGGGATCAGCATATGCTCACAGAGCAGGAACATGGCTGTAGGTGTTTGAAGAAAACAAAGCATGTAGTGATGAATAAGGAGCTTCAAGAGTTATGAGCCAGAGTGCTAAGACCCTCACATTTACATGCTTCTGAGTGAGGAGGCTGTGACACAGCACTGCTGCCTGGGATGGTTCTTTGTCACGATAAGTTAAAAAGTGGATTCTGAGTGCACTGTGACTTTACTGAGGGTCTTCCCATAGAGCAGGAAAGAGCGGATCATCTGTAACTTCAATGTGTGTGATAGCAGATCAAAACTGATCACTGGCATCCGGGCTTCTCCTTCCACCTTCTGGCCATATTATTAGCACGAAGGCATCTCCAGGAGCCCCACTAGCTTGTTCACTGAGAGGTTCTGAGGCCTTCAAGAGACCACATGCTGAAAGCACTTTGGGTGGCCACACGGATGCAGATCTGTCCTTATCTGCCAGGGGTTGGGCCTTCTCCGCCTAATGCCTTGTACCCTAACTGAAGGCCAGGACGTGCACGCGGCACTTCACACTCCCCAGTGGCCCTCGGAGATAGGCGTCCTCATCCGGACTTCACAGGTGAGAAAACTGAAACTTGAGCAGGGTAAATGTCCTAGGGCAGACACACTCAGTGGCCTCCCAGGGCCACCCCCTTCATCCCTTCCTCAGTGCATGATCACCTGGCCCACACGCAGCAAAGCCCACTTTGGCTCTGGAAGAATTGGGCCCTGCCACTCACTGTGTAACCATGGGCACGTCACTTTGCTTTTCTGTGCTTCAGTCTCCCCATCTGTCAAACAGGGATAAGAACAGTATCTACTTTATAGGTTTATTGTAAGGGTTAAATAAGTTACTAAAAAAAAGCACTTAGAGTGAGCACTACGTTGGCAGTAGCTTTATTATTATTATTACGATGCTCTGGCTATTTCCTATATTCAAACATTCTCAGCTACCACTGTCAAGCTCAGCAAGAGGGTTTTACAACCTAGCCTGAACTGGACCAACTAGCCCAAGGTCTCTGGCCTTTCTCACCCTGCCAAGCCTGTCAGTGAAAGTGCAGAGATTCTCAACCAAACAGTCGTGTCACAAGAGGTACAAGTCCCTTCCAATTACACTCCCCGCTCAGGGCTGTCAACCCTCCAACTCTTCACTCCTCAGGAACCAGTTATTCAAGGAGCTCAGCGAAGCACAGGATCACTCCCAGTCCAGCCAGTGCGGTTCAGTGGCTCTACCTGGAAGCCCACTCTCACCCACCTCCTACTTGCCTCCTCCACCTAGACCCCACCTTCCTCACCTCAGCCCCACCCCACCCAGCCTCCTCCAACTAAGCACCACGGCATCTGCAGACAAGTAGATCAACACAACTTGCTAAATGTTTAGCTGCTGTGCTGTGCCTGGCCCTGAGTGCCTTCTATGCATCTGCTCTAATGTTCACCAGAGCAATAACCCCTTGAAGTCATAAACCTGTGAGGTTAGGGACTATTATGCTCAGCAGGGTGGTGGTAAGTATTGCAACAGGGACAGAAACTAGAGAAAGGCAAACTGCTTCCTGGGTCTATGACCTTAAGCAACTTAAATTTACTTCTCTGAGCCTGTTTCGTCATCTATAAAGTAGAATACTCATGCCCACCTGATCAGGTGCTCACAGGACTCAATAACAACCAGCAGCCATCAGCAGCACCATCATCACACTATTGTGGCTCTGGCTCTTCTATCAGTGAAGAATCAGAGAGACCTAGGTCTGGATTCTGTCTCCACCATGATGTCACTGACCGTGGGCAAGTTCCTAATCTACAAAATGGGGAACAAAGAATACCCACCTCTCAGGGTTTTTGGAAGGACACCATAAATGTGAACTGTAAAATCAACCCCAGAAGCATTTTCTGAAGGCCTGTTCGATGCAGTGTAGAAGGGCATGAGAGTAGAGATCAAGCAATCCCCATCTCAGAGCATATCACCTTCCTGCAAACAGGCACCAAATTTAACCTGCAAGGGTCAGAGACCCACGTTTAAACAGGGCTCAATGGCCAAAATCTCCTACTTATTCCTTACCTTCTGTTTTAAAAGGACACAAGAATTCAGAAGAAAAAATTACAGGAAACAGCAGACATCCAGAATCCCACTTCCGAAGTTTAACAGATATTTTCATTTGACTCTAGTTATATCAGATTCCCTTTTTCTTTTTTTAATAAAACAGACATAGCTAAAGCCTCCCCATGCCTTTTCTTCCCCATCTTTATTCCTGAAACAAGTTCCTTTAACTATTTTGTAATTCCCACACATTTCTCACCTTGTATTACAATTTATCCTTTTATTAGGTATATACCTATAAACAGTATGTGTAAGTCTCATTTGGTAAATTTTCTAAATTTACAGAACCTTTTGCAACTTGCTTTTCCCCACTCAACAGGATGTCTGGAAATTTATTAAAGGGCTAGGTAAATCAAACTGATTTTTTTTTCATATAATGGAATTGTGCGAAACATTTAAAATGAATGAACCAGAGCTGCATGTAGCACCTCCCCTTTTATGCATACCCCTTGATGATGTACTTCCAGCAACTTCATAATGTTCTTTAAAACTGGCCTTTGCTGTTACAATTATATGGGTTTCATCCCAAGGAGCACACAGGCTCACAGAGATTAAATTAAGCTGCCCTGGGTCCCGCAATTATTTAGTGACAGAGCCAGGGCTCAGCCCAGGCCTATTCAAAGCCCACACACCTATGACACCATTAAACAGTAGTGTACTTTCTCCTTAATTTTCACCTTCCTACTCAGTTCTCTGGCTCTAAACAACTGGCCCATGATCAGAACTTTAGTTCCAGAACTTTCACATACTTATTTATACTTGTGGAGGTAGCTGAAGCAAGAATCTGCCTGAGGCAAGGTACTATATTGGCCTAGAATTATCTGCAAACTGGACATCAATCCAGNAGCTGAAGCAAGAATCTGCCTGAGGCAAGGTACTATATTGGCCTAGAATTATCTGCAAACTGGACATCAATAGAGCTATCCTTTGGGGGGTGAGGTGGTGGGAGATCCTAAATGAGAGCAGTGGGGACCCCCAAGAGGATGAGGCTTCCTCACCTTGGGGTACCCAGCTGCAGGAAATGAGCAGGAACTTGGGCTCAGGGAGGCTGAAAGGTAGATTCTCCTCATTTACAAGATGCAATAGCTGTTTTTCCAGTTGCTACTGGGATCATTGTTTTGACCTCTTACCTGCAATGCAAAAACTACAATTTTAGAAAAAATCCTATAGCCTGAGATAAGCAGTTCTCTTATTTTACCTTGCTCTGACCCCAAGACAATCCCAAGGCCTGCTGTGAATTCCAAGAGTCAGCTTCAGCCAAGGCCAGAGGGTGGCCTGCTCTACAGCCTGTCTCAGGCCACTGAAGGGATACTTTTCTTCATCTCAGATCACAGAGGGGAAATAGGCAGTAACAGCAAACTGCAACAAACCCTCCCTACAGCTGAAATTCTAACTGCCATTAACATCAGATATCAGTCCTGGTTGGCTTGCTGGGTGACACGGCGTGAGTCCTGCACCTGTCTGTGTAATATTTCTATCACTCATACACTGCACTTCAATCACTTGTAAATTGCACTTTATCATCTAAGAGAAACCTCTGGGGGCCACAAAGGCCTTTTAAGGGAGGCTAATCTCTCAATGGACAGGGGTCACTTGGGGTAGACTTAGTCCCAAACAAATGCATTCTTTGATGTGGACAGTAACTGGAACCTTTTCTCAATCTTTGCTGTGAGTGAAAGCGTCCTTGCTATTTTTATTAATCTGCAAAAAAAAAAACACCTGGAGTAAAATTAACCAGTTTGCTGTGCAAACTGGGCAGGGAGACAACTGCTCCTCCATACAGAAACTCTGTAGCTATCACCTCAGTGGATATTTGGCAAAGGTTAGCAGAGAATGATAACAGAGAACACAGCAAAATAACTATTTTTCCTCCAAGGTCACTGAATAGTGGGTTTGAAGTTCCTCCTTCATTCTGGGAGGGAAAAGGTTTGAGAAAGGTAAAGCATGTTCTCCAGTCCAACCATCGGTCTCAGGCTGTGCCCAGCTTCCCCGAACAAAAGTGTCCAAACCAAGGGTTCTCAGAGGCCTACATTACCTGACTACTAACTAGTAAAATTAAGAGATTTTACTTTGAGTGGTAAACACACAATGCAATATACAGATGATGTATTATATACATTGTACACTTGAAACATATATAACTTTATTAACCAATGTCACACCCAATAAATTTAATAGGGGAAAAAATTAAAACTCCACTTTCAAAATGCCACACAGGCCTTCCAACCTGCATCTTTCAAACTGAATGTGGCTTTTTCTCCAGGGTTACACAGAAGGTTTGAAAGAAAAAACTATAGAAGAACTTTATAAAGTTAAGTCGGGAAGGAGAGATTACTGAATCCCTACCTCCTTATTCTTAGTACCATGTCAAAAATGACTGAGCCCAGCCGGCGTGGCTCAGCAGTTGAGCATCGACCTATGATCCAAGAGATCTCGGCTGGATTCCAGGTCAGGGCACATGCCCAGGTTGCAGGCTCCATCCCCAGTCGGGGGCATGTAGGAGGCAGCCAATCAGTGACTCTCTCATCATTGATGTTTCTACCTCTCTCTCTCCCTCTCCCTTCCTCTCTCTGAAATCAATAAAGACACATATATGCACAACCCAAGGACACAGACAATGATGGGGAGAGGGACTGGGAAGGGGGAGGGGACAGGGTGGAATGGGTCATTGGGCAGAAAAAGGGACATCTGTAATATTTTAAACAAAAATAAAATTTTTTTAAAAAAAATTTTAAAAATAGACATATATATATATAAATGACTGAGGACTTATGGGTTAAAAGTTTTAAAAGATTCTAGGTGAATTTACCAAAAATAATAATAATAAAGGGGGCAGACAGAGGTAGTAGTATTCAACTTATGAATAAAAACAATTAATCCTTCCTTCTATTTATATGAGGTACCTAACTGTAGTCAAATTCACAAAGACACAAAGTAAAATGGCGGTTGCTGGGGGCTGGGCAGAGGGGGGAATAGGAAGTTAGTATTTTATGGGTACAGAATTTTGGTTTTGCAAGATGAAAACAGAGTTCTGGAGATGGATGGTGGTGATGGTTGCACAACAGTATGAATGTACTTAATGCCACTGACCTGTACACTTAAAAATGTAAAGATGGTAAATTTTATATGTATTTTACCAAATTTTTTAGTTGGGGGGGTAAAAATTAAGAAATCTCTCGACCTTCTAATTTTCATTGGGGCATAGTGGCTAGTAACTAGGACTCTGGAGTTGTGAGTTTCTCTCTGTGTTCTGTATTTACTAGCTGGGAAGCTTTGGGGCATTTCAGCATGGCATAGTGGCTAGTAACTAGGACTCTAGAGTTCTGAGTTTCTCTGTGTTCTGTATTTACTAGCTGGGAACCTTTGGGCAAGTCACTTGACATCTCTGAGACTGTTTCTTCATCTAAAAAAATGTAAATACTAACAATAAGAGTCTCCTTCATAGGCTATGAGAAAACGAGAACAAGGTAACTGAATCTCATTAGCACAAGAGTGGGCACTTGCTAAAATGATTCTTAACATTTTTAATAATAAATGAGTTCAGTATTCAATGATGTTACTAAAAAGTCAGCAATAACTAAATGATAACAAAATTATTAATGTTATCGGAGAGATCTACAAGTGCATGAAAAGACTTTGTCTTACGGGAAAAAGAAGCCCAGGTGAGGAGTCAGAAGACGGGCTTCAATTGTGGCTGTGGGCGTGAGATTTCTCCTCTGTGAAACACAAGCGGTGACAAAGATGATCTCTAAGATTACCAGGAAGCCAGATCAGCTTTGCTGCTTGGCGGGAGCCAGCCCTGGCAGGCCCTCCTTCACCTCCTAAGCTTTTCGGGGACGTCCCGGGCGAAGGAAGGGGCCCAAAGGTCGTGCCAGAGAGGGCTGATAGCAAAGCCCCTTCCTAAACCCGAGGCAGCGGCATGGTGCAAGGCTTGTGCAAGACACATACGCTTTGGGAGCAAAGGTCCCGCACCCTCGTTCCTCCCCGGCCAAAGTCTGCAACTGTGCAGACTGCCTGTTGAGGGATCTGAAGGGAACCGTAAGCTCCCCAGGTACAGCAGAGACCCCCCAAGAAAAGGCAGCCCCAAAACAGCCTGGATTGCAGAATTATAAATACCTCCTCTGCACATGCGCACTGAAATTTATGAGCGTCCCCAGGGTACAACCGCGCCCACTGCGCCTGCGCCCTCCGGCTCTCCTTGGCGCACAGGATAGGAAAAGGGGATCCCACGGACCCACGAAAAAAAGAATGGGTACGCGGTGGCCCCTCGGTCCCAGTTTCCTCATTTCTTACCTCGTAGTGCTTCATGACTTCCTCACACGGCGGATACTGCTCCCGCTGCTACTGCTGCTGGGCTGCTGCTTCCCAGCGCGCGACGCAGCACAGGTTCCTCACGCTTTCCGGACCGCTGCGCCAGACTAACCGCGGCTCCGCGTTCGCCCCGCCCCTCCCCACCGCGCGTGCCCCTCCAGCCAATCAGCGTGCAGGAAGCCCACCTTCGTCTCCGCCCCTCGGGGCCGGTCTGAGCGAAGACTAGCCACTCGCTCGATAAGGTTGACCAATCAGCTTGTGGGACTCATCTAGGGGGCGGAGCGCGGGCAAGACCTGAGCGGGGGGGAAAGGGGCGTGGCCCCCACCAATCAAAATGGGCCTCGAGGCCACGCGCCCCCTTTCCCCGCCCCTTTCCCCGCCCCTTGATGGAGTCGCTGTGGAAACCTAGGGAAGCGACGGTTACTAAAAGACTGGGGGAGGGAGCAAGAAGTTGAGTGACAGGGAGAGCAGCATCCACCAGGCGGGCGGCGCAGCGGGGTGAATTCCCAGGTGGGCGGCCCCTGGGGTACTGGGGAGCAACGGGAGAAGGCGAGGGGCTGGGGGCGTGGGCTGAGGCGCCTGGATGTAGTGGCCTCTCAGGAGAGGCCACTGATAAATGGAAGAGAAGGAAAGGGGAAATGGGTGGCGAAAAGCACCCTGAAACCCTCCCAACCTGCAACCAGGGGTTGTCTTAACCGCTCTTTTCAACGCAAGCCCCCGTCCAGCTATGGTCAGGGGGCCCACATTTGTCTCCACCTGCGCTGTCCAGCATGGTCACTACATGAAGCTAGTGAGCCCTGGGCCTTTCTGGACAAAACAGATGAAAACACAAAGGTGTTTTATAACCGCACTTTCAAAAGCATCGATCTTTTTCTGTTGGTAGTTGGGGGGCTCACAGTATCTTGAAACCCTTTGTGTCCCAACAGGCTTCACTCGCTGCCCTCATTGAGGGGGACAATTTGAGATGTGCTGTATAAATGTAAAATACACCAATTTCAGTGACAGTATTGAAAAGGAGTGTGTGTGTTTTTTAATCTCATAACCTTTTATGTTGATTACACCTTGAAATAATATTTTGGATATATTGGATTAATATATATTACTAAGATTAAATTCCCATGTTTCTTTTCACTTTTTTTATGTCTTTATTGATTTCAGAGAGGAGGGAGAGGGAGAGAGAGAGAGAGAGAAACATCAATGATAACAGTCATTGACCTGCTGCCTCCTGCTCGCCCCCTGCACGCCCCCTGCTGGGCATCAAGCCTGCAACCGAGCTTGTGCCCAGACCTGGAACCGCAATCTCCTGGATCATAGGTCGATGCTCAACTGCTCAGCCACGCCATCTTCTGTCATGAATGGACTGGGGAGGTTAGATGCTAACACACATGCACACACACAGACTCATGCACACACTCAAGATTTTAGGACAAGCTAAGAGTAGCACCTGGCACACTCCCTCACCTCTTCTTTCTCCCGGTTCCAGGCCTGCCCCTGAGCCACAATCAACTGTTGCATCATGGGAGACCCAGAGACCTGATATCAGAGACATCTGAGAAGTCCTCAAAGGTAAATTGAGTCATAGGGAAGTAGGGTGGGGCATGAGTGAGTCATTGCTGAGCCCTTAATCATCCAGGTTTGATTCTAGACACTGAAGCTACAGCTTTTGGGGACTTCCAGGTAACAGCAAAGGTTGTAGTCTTCAGAAACTCACTGTCTTTTTCAGTGGGCCTATCTGGACAAAACAGATGAAAACACAGAGGTGTTTTATAACTGCACTTTCAAAAGCATCGATCTTTTTTTTTCTTTTTTTTAATATATCTTTATCGATTCCAAAGAGAGGGAAGGAGGAGGAAGAGAGAGAGATAGAAACATCAATGATGAGAAAGTCACCATGGATCGGCTGCCTCCTGCATGCCCCCGACTGGGGATCGAGTCCAAAACCCCAGCATGTGCCCTGACAGAGAATCGAACCGTGATCTCTTGGATCCTAGGTTGATGCTCAACCACGGAGCCACACCTAGCCAGGCATCAATCTTTTTTTTATTTATTTATCTTTATTATTGAAAGTATTACAGATGTCCCCTCTTTTCCTCATTGACCGCAAAAGCATCCATCTTTTTCTGTTGGTAGTTGTAGGTCTCACAGTATCTTGAAACCCTTTGTGTCCCAACAGGCCTCACTTGCTGCCCTCATTGAGGGGGACAAGGGGAATACTCACCCTGAGGCCACAAGCTAAAATCCTACCAAGTTGAATTACTTGAGATGTCTGATTGTGAAGTGCTAAGGGGGCAGGGTTGAACCCCTAAAATCTAGCCACATTTTGCTATTTCGCCAATTCTGGTGATTTCCAGCTTCTCCAATATGGTCTGAGTAGGCGCCTCTTCAGTATCACTGGGTTCCAGCTAGGTCAGGCTTGCGGTGTCGTGCCCAAATAGATGACATTGCGGTGTCGTGCCCAAATAGATGACATTGTTGGAGAGATTCTGCACACATTCCTAGGGACTTGGAACATTCTGGAGTTCCCCTTTCAAGACTGCTTTCCTGAGCCTCTCACTCACTCAACAGGAACAAAATCATTTGTTGTGTGCCATATGGGGCATACAAATAATTTCCACCCTGCTCACCTATAAGAAGCTCATAGAAAAGCAGGAGCAGGCCTCCAAAGGAGAATTCCTCTTTATTTTTGACAAATATTGCAGGAGTGAGGACCCCTTGTTGGCTTCATCTGGCTTCCAGTGACCAGGCTGTCAGCAAAAACCAAATCCACCCTTGGAATGAAAACTGGCCACTTTGTACAGCCATTCATGACACTGTACTGTGGCTCTGGCTGTGCCTGTTATCAGGGACAACTAAATCATGCTTATGTCTTCAGCATCCCCAGCACAGTGGCTAATTCATAACAGTGACAAGTAGACACATTTGGTGTTTGCTGTGCTGATTGTAACAAGCTCCTGAAAACAGTTTCCAAAGGGGAAATTCCAGAAAGATCTTGCATTTGGCAGTGCTGAAAGTGAGGCCTCCTGGGGTCTTGGATTTGGGGGAACCCACAGTCATTTGAAGATCCGGTGTGTTCAGCTGTATCCAGCTTTTTGTATCCCACACATGAGTTAGGTAGGATCTTGATTTTCCAGAACCTGACTTGGCTGGTTTGGGGGTATGTGATAGAGCTTGTTCAGAATGTGAGGGAAGGTGAAGCAGAGAGCAGACAAGCCAGGGCTGGTTAGCAACTTTCCGCTGTGTCAGGAGCCCCAGAGAGAGGTTTCCCAAGCCCTGCCCTGTTTTGCTTTCTTTTTTTTAATTGTTAAGCCCATAGGATGATTATTTTTTGTTTTTTTATTGAAGTATAATATACATACAGTAAAATTCACCTTTTTCAGTATATAGTTCTGAATGCAGACAGTGGTATAACCACCACCACAATAAAAATATAGAACATTTTCATCATCCCAGAAATCTCTCCTGTACCCCTCTGTAGCAGATCCCAGTTGCCAGCAACCACTTTCTCCCCAATACTTTTGCCTTTTCCAGAAGGTCCTATAAAATGCATTACACAGTAAATAGCCTTTTGAGTCTGCCTTCTTTCACTAACAATGTATTTGAGGTGCGTCTGCATTATTTCCTTTAACAGTAGTTTGTTCCTTTTTTATGGCTGAATAGTATTCCATCACTTTGCCGGATCAGTTTGTTTATGCATTCACCCACTGAAGGACATTTAGGTTTTAATGGCTGTCATTAATTATGAATAAAACCTTGATAATCATTGGTTCATGGGTTTTTGTGAACATGGGTTTTTATTTCACATGGGTATTCTACCAGGGGTTGGGACTGCTGGCTCATATGACAGTTGTGCTTTTGAAGTCCTTTTTGATGAAGAAAATTGAAAAGAGTGGTGATTCACTTTTTTTCTTAATTAAGACTTTATTATGATCTGAATCATATCTTACACAAGCTGAGTGCTTACCAGAAGAACTCAGTGTGCTAAACACTCTACATTTCAACATCTTACTCCCTGGGTGACCTCAGGCAAGTCACAAGACCTCTCAGAGCCTCAGTTTCCCCACCCATAAAATAAAGGTAACACTAGGCCTCTTATTATTGTGAGAATTAAATGAGTTAATACACACTGAGCACTTGAAAATGGCTTGACACATGTTGTTACTATAATGTTCATTTCCTGTCCCCTCTTAATTTCCTCCTTATAGCAACTCTACGTGGTAAGAGCTACTCTTATCCTCATTTTATGGAGGACACACCTAACAGAGATCAAGCAAGTTGTGTAATATTGCACAGGCAGTAAATAAGTAAATAGTGGGTCCCAGGCTTCCACTGAGGCTAACTTCAGACTTGCCTGCTTAGTTCCTATATCAGTCAGGTTTCTATCAAAGAAACAGAACCAGTAGGCTATATGAGTGTGTGTGTGTGTGTGTGTGTGTGTGTGTGTGTGTGTGTGTGTGTGTATTAAGAGATTTATTTCAAGGCATTGGCTTACACAATTGTGGGGACTGGCAAGGCAACTCTGAAATCTGTAGGGCAGACCAGCAGGCTGGAAACTCTTGACCAGGAGCTGGAACTTCTTCCTCAGGGGAACCTCAGTTGTTGTTTTATAGGTAACTTTTTTTTTTAATTTTCTTTTCAATTACGATTTACATTTAATATTATTTTTGCATTAGTTTGAGGTATACAGCATAGCAGGCCTATCCCAAGCACTTTACAATTGTTGACTCATGTCAACTTCAGAACTCTATGAGGCTGGTATAACCATCACCCCCATTGTACAGGTTAGGAAGCTGAGGCCCAGAAAAGATCAGTAACCAGTCCAAGGACATGCAGCCAGGAAGTGCTAGAACTGGAAATGAAACACAGCTGTCTGGCTCCAGAGCCAATGTCACACCTCCCTGACCTTCATATACTTTACAAAGTGTTCCCCCTGATATTTCTAGTACCCAACTGGCACCATACATACTTATTTCCTATGTTGTACTTTACACCCTCACGACTATTCTGTAACTACCAATCTGTACTTCTCAATCCCTCCACATTTTCACCCAGCCTCCCAACCCTCCTCCCCTCTGGAAACCATCAGTCTGTTCTCTGTATCTATGAGTCGGTTTCTGTTTTGTTTATATTGTTCTTTAGATTCCACATATAAGTGAAATCATATGGTATTTGTCTTTCTCTGACTTATTTCACTTAGCACAGTACCCTTTAGGTCCATCCATGCTGTCACAAATGGTTAAGATTTCATTCTTTTTTATGGCTGGGTAATATTCCATTGTATATATGTAGCACAGCTTTTTATCTACTCTTTTATTCATGAGCACTTGAGTTGCTTCCATAGCTTGGCTATTGTAAATAATGCTGCAGTGGACATAGGGGTGCATAAGTATTTGTTTTTAAGGCCTTTCAGTGTTTGCTTTTAAAGCCTTGCAACTGACTGGATGAGGCCCACCCACATTATCCAGAGTCATCCCCTGTACTTAAAGTCAACTAACTGGAAATGTTAACTGAATCTACAAAATACCTTCACAGCAACACTTTGATTGAATGACTGGGCACGATAGCCCAGCCACACTAATGCATAAAACTAACCATCACATCTTCTCTGGGTTGAGAGCTGAAAATCTGCTGAGGTTTCTAGAAGCAGAGGCCACTTTTTCAGTAACATTCTGAAGTTCCCAGTGAGTGTCCAGGTTAAAGAATCCTAAAGAGAGGTGTTGTGTGTTTGTTTTTTTGGGGGGAGGTGTTAAACAATGAAAACTTCCTGAATATGAGCCACGCTTATTCAGGAAAAGGGAGGCCCAAAAGTTGCCCCCAAACAAGAAAACACCCAGAGCGACGTGAAGACCTTTGGAGCCTGTCACATTTGTAACTCTAAATTAAATTTATCCTATAAAATAAATACTAGATTATAAGTTGAGGGAGTCCATAAACTCTGGGTTTTTCACCATGGTGAATACTCTTCTACTTGTTTATGTAACTTTTTAAAAATCAAACTCTTTTTCTCCTATAACTGGTTGATGACCCCTGTATGCTGTGCCGTTGGACTCCCAGCCCATACCCATCCTCCCAGGCTGGCCAGTGTGTATCCTAGTCCCTGGGGTCAGTGAGTGGCCATTGAGGGCCAGAATCCCCCTATTGGACCACAGGGAAGGCCAGGGTCATCTTTCTCAGGAGTCCCAGGCTGCGTAAGGGTGGCAGTCATTGAACTTTTTGTTGTGGTACTGCCAGGAAGCTGGTGGTTCAGCAGCCCCTCACTCAAAAAAGAGGGTTTGTCACCCCTCTGAGAGCACTTCCTCTGTGCCAGGCCTATCCCAAGCACTTTACAATTGTTGACTCATGTCAACTTCAGAACTCTACGAGGCTGGTATAACCATTACCCCCATTGTACAGATTAGGAAGCTGAGGCCCAGAAAAGCTCAGTAACCAGTCCAAGGACATGCAGCCAGGAAGTGCTAGAACTGGAAATGAAACGCAGCTGTCTGAATCCAGAGCCAATGTCACACCTCCCTGACCTCCCAAGCAGTACTTCCAGGAATCGGTCCCCTCAGGGGCCACCACTGGCACCCCCTCTTCCTTATACCCTTCCCAGGCTATACCCCTTTCTGAACCCCCTTTTCCCATCAGCCCTGTCTGACCACAGGCAGTCCAGATTCCCAGAGCCAAAAGGGATCATGTTGCCCACAAAAGAGGAAATAGAGGCCATGAGAGGTATAGGACACACCCACGTTCCCCCAAATCATAAAAGTAGTGGAGAGAGAAAAAGGAGGTGCATTCAAAAAAGCCAGAAATACTTATGAAGCATCCATTGCAACTGAGTGCCAAACACTATTCAAGGTACTGAAGACCCAACACTGACCGGACCCAGCCCCTGCCCTGGTGGGGATCACAGGCTGAGACACAAATGATATTTATTATGAACACCAAGGTACAAGATTTCAGATTTCAGTGGCACGTGTTCTTGAGAAAACGGTAAAGTGAAAGGCCTGCCTAAGGAGCAGCGGGACTGGGAAGACCTCTCCCGGAGGTGAGCTTTGGTCTCAGGTCCTCACCTCTCTTTATAGGGGAGGACAGGGACATCCTGGGGCTCCCAAGTGCGCTCTCCTCACTGCCAGGAGAAGAGAATGATGAGTATTTTTATTCCCACAAAGGGGAATCTGGGGCTGGAAGAGGTTAAGCAATTTGCCCAGGGCACCCAGTCAGGACCCGACCCAGGAAGTTGGGGACGGGCAGGTTTACCTTCTGCGGGGGAGCGGAGCCTTCCCCAACCCCGCCCCTTCCGCAGCAGCTCGTCGTAAACTATTACCCAGGCTGAGCGCGGGACGCGCGGCTGGCCGGGTCATCCGGGGAAGTGAAACAAAGTCGCGACTGACTCCCGTGGAGGATGGGCGAGGCCGCCCCTGCAAGCTGCGCGCGCCCGGGGGAGGCGTTGCGGAAGGCAGAGAGGGATGAGGTGTGGCCACGTGCTCGCGGCCGTTGGCGTTGCGGCCCCGCCCCGGATATCGCGCGTCCCAGGCTGGGCGGCGGGGATTGGTCGTCGCGGAGCGAGGGGCGGGACGGAAGGTTCTGGAGGGGGCTGGCGGGATCTGGAAGCTTCCGCCGGACGGGTATATAGAGTCCGGGACGGGGAGGCAGAGTGGGGGGGACTCCGACAGCTGGGCGGCAGGCCGCAGGCGGGGGCCATGGGAAAAGACTATTACCAGACGCTGGGCCTAGCCCGCGGAGCGTCGGACGAGGAGATCAAACGGGCCTACCGCCGCCAGGCGCTGCGCTACCACCCGGACAAGAACAAGGAGCCCGGCGCCGAGGAGAAGTTCAAGGAGATCGCCGAGGCCTACGACGTGCTCAGCGACCCGCGCAAGCGCGAGATCTTCGACCGCTACGGAGAGGAAGGTGCGTGCGCGCGCGCGGCTGGGGGCG